TTTTTTTTTTTTTAGATAAATCGGCCAGGTTTGACGCCACCAATGCCACCACCATATAAGGCAAAACCGGCGGTAAAGGGTTCATCATCAGCAACCATACAGAAAGTCTCGATTCCTGAGCAATTCAAGACACTGCGTCCGAGTCGGCCAGCTAACGAAACGCCTACGTTACGAAGATCGGGAAGCTCTGATGTATGTTTTTTTGCGATATTGATCTGATGTGGACTACTTATTATGTATTTTGATACTTAAGTTGGCCGCTACATCATCAGCGCTGTTATTAACTTTCCTAGAGTTATCGTAGAGAAGTAGTTTCTTGTGCTGGAGTAGAAAAACTACAAATAGTAAGACTGAAAAAAAAGAACTGTGATTACGAATTAAGAATCGTGATTAGAGCTGATCGTAATATTCGACGACATTTTGCTACATTTATTAACAACAATTTTATTGTCATGCAACTATAACTAAGATTTCAGTATTTATCAAAGCCAGACCTCAAAATTCCTCTTCGTTTTCGCCTTCCGTGGGAGAAGTTGCCCGAGCAACTTTCCGCGGGCAAAGCTGTCGATGGTCCTTTCTTTCGAGAGATGTTTACAAGCAAGCTGATGATTGTTCTGATTCGTTGACATCCACTTATACCTGTTTACTGTCGAAACGACCCAACGAACCGTAGAAGAACTGGTTGCCCCAGAATCGAACCCCCTCGACTTACAGCTCAAAAATAGTGCTTTTTTCTTGTATTGTAAGAAAAAAAAAGGATATTTCAGGATGTGAGAAATACTACTGCACTGTCTTCCGACAAACAGATGACGCCTCCACCGCTGCCGCTGAATCCGCCAAGTTCGTCAAGAATTGCGAAACCGGCATGTCCACCGCCACCTCCGCCGAATCAGCCTTCTCGAATCGGACGCCCGGTTGTTCCCACCACAGCACCACACATGCCGACCTCAACCAGCACCACATCGTTGCCTCCCGTTGCTCAGCGACTAGACGAAGATTCGCCACCGCCTCCCCCTCCTCCACGGATAGCTTCCTGTGCTGACCAGATGGATCGCTTCACATTCATCCCGCTCAACGAGCTACCACCACCAGGAATCTTTTCGGGTAGCAAGAAAATCTACGAATTCCATTCACCACGTCGAGGCGCATCACAGTCCACTGCTCCCGCTTCCGGTCACTTATTCACACAGTCTTAAGTTCATTATATTTCTGTCTTTTCTTGCTCAGTTTTCTTCAGTTTCGAATGTTGTTCATCTCACCTATGCAGCATTTGCTTTGCTTCTTGGGCGCATGTTTTGAATGTTTCGAAAGGGGATTTAGGATCCAAAGTCCGGACAATTTAAAAATTTCGATTTATTTTAGTGGTGGACTTGAAATCAACACAAAAACTACTATCTGGATTCCCCTTTAATGAATTTTGACATGTTTGCTGAAAGGTTACCCCACATTTGTAAACAGAAAACTGTAAATGGATGAATTTTTGATTTTCTTGCTGATTGGGTTATCGTAATTATATCCAGAAAGGTGGCACACTTTCATAAAAATTTTCCTCGAGACTTTTTAACCGGTGCGAAATAGTCCTTGTGCTGAATGTTTTCTTGATTGATTTAACCTTATTTCACTACAGTATATTTTTGCATTGTCGCGCAGCAGGTCGCCAATGGAACGATTCGTAATTCATTTCCATGATAAATAATTGCTAATGGCATATTATGCAGTCAAGATTTGTCAGACCCGCTATCAGCTTGCTTATAAGCAAAACCTCAAAATGAGGAGCCATCGATAGCTTTGCCAGCGAGTGGTTGCTGTTAGCATTTGTTACCACTCGGGCTACTTTTTGATTTCTTTCGTTTGTCATGAAGTGAATGAGGAAGGGGTTTTGATTTTGTTGTGTAACACTGCTTTGTCAATATATGCAGTTTTATGAGTTGTGGCTTTGTTTGCGGGTACCGTCTAGTGCGGCAAGCGTAGCCCTGTGTTTTCCATTTTTTAATATTATTATGTTCGTAAACTATATTGTGATCGAAAAATTTTTGCGCAGTTTTCCCCTGAATAAGCCTTTCCAGCATTCTTTTTATTAATTCTGTTGTTAATAACGCTATGTGGAAATAAATTTATTTGAAATTTTGGTCTTTTTTAATTTCTTTTTATTAGTAATTGTCGTATATTCTACTTAAGTTATCGGACTTTTGAAAGTTATAATGTTAGTACTGCATATGTCAGAGGTTCAACCCGCCATCGGTTTGTTTGTAATTCAACCCCTTGAAAGGTAGAGTCATCAACAAACTTGTCATGAGGTGTTTGCTGTTGGCATTTGCTACCACTCAGGCGTCATCCCATGTGCCTTCGTTCCTTAGAGTGAGTGAACTCAGAAGAGATTTTGACTTTTGACATAGAGAAATAGCGCTTGTATGAGTGAGAATTTAAGGCATGAAAAAGCCACCGCAAAGAAAAAGGTGTATGCTGCCTATACAACGGAGGCAGCTGAGAAAAGAAAGGTGTATTCAACCTTGAAAGGCAGGTAATTCCCAGTCCGGGCAAGGGGCAGTGGCGTAATAGGTAGCAAGCTGCGACAGAATGTGTTGAGAGTGGTTCGATTTTTTTTTTCGGTCCAGAACCATTTTTGAAAAGGGGCTCCGTTCACGACAAGTTTGAGACACGGAAAAAGAAAGAGAGGAAGTCAAATTGGATTCTTCGCTCTTCCATTTCTGGCTGAGCAAACTGTCCTTTTGTATTCACTCTCTCTCTCTCTCTCTCTCTCTCTCTATGAAAGGTGGGGACTCTCCGTCGCAAGTGTCAACTGCTTGCTGTTAAGACTGTCAGTGGCTCCTTCTGAGAGATGCCTAGAAGCAAACTGGTGGCGATAACTTCTAATAGTTTTTGAAGTTTTAGATTCAGTGGATTTATTCTTCGGGCGAAGGGAAGTTTTTGCCAGCTTCATTTCCACTCTCCAGTTGTTTTACCTTTCAGCAATATGTCAGTTTCCGGATCATCGAGCAGCTCGGATTTGACCCGGCGATTGAAAGCAATCAGTGATGTGGAGCAGAAAATTGGTGAACTGATGAAGCACGCGCAGACATGTATTACGGAACTGAGTAAGGAGAAACAGGTAGTAATTGCTGATTTGGTTTGAAAAAAAAAAACGCGTTCCGTAGTTGTAGTTGGTACAGCGTCTGAAATATCTTGGTGGGTTATTTCCAAAGATTGCTGCAGAAGAAACACGTAGTGTGGTAAAACTCAAAATGTTGAGTATTCTTTCCTCTATCGACTTATTGGATGCTGTACCATATCAACAATTACCTGTTTAAAAAAAGCGTTCCGTAAAAAAACACGTTCCGTAGGAAAATGACGGCGGTTCAAAAAAAAAAAAGCGAAATCAGGAGAAATGCAGGAGAACTGATAAACAAGAGTAGGGACAAACTGGAAATAAAAAAAAGCTGAAAAATCGAGTTATAGGCGCAAAAACTGGCCGAAAAAAAGCACTGAATTTTGCTCAGAGAAAAAATTGCTCAAAAAAAAAAAAATGTAAATTCGGGATGGAGAGGGATAGACGCATGAGTAAGAGGATGGAACGTAGACAAGAATAGAAATAAAAGGTGTCATTTTTTGTGCAGTGGTACAAAGCGTTTTTTGCATCTATGCAATGCAGATTTGTCGAGGGGTTGTCTGTGTGTGCGTCTGTACCGATTTTTTTACCTTCAAACTGTGCCTTCTAAGTTTGCATCGCAGCGATCCTGCTGACGAGATCCACTCATGATGCTGAGTTAAGGAGACTACAACTCGTTAGACCGAAATGTCTTATCTCATTCTTTTATGGTCCCTTGTTTCTTTTATTCCTTCTTTTTTCATCCTTTCCTCGTTCTTTTCACTCTTGCACTTTTATCCTGTATGTAGGTCAGTAAAAAGTTTTATAAAAATGACTTGAAAGACGAAATTCAATCCGAAAAATTTCTGTTTTAGATCAGTAAATCGAAGATGGAGGAGACATCTTCGGCATTCAAGAAATGCCTCAATGCGATCGAGCGCGACCTGAATGAGCAGATGCAATACCTCAGTCATGTGTGCGTTGGTACTGCGCATCAAGGATCCACGTACGGCAGTCAGCAGAGCATAGCATTAGCCGAACAGACACTGGAATCTCTGAAAGATCGTCTTCTTTCCATCCAGCAAACATACGTCCCCATAATGAATGATTTCCCGATATCTCAAAGATGAAAAATGCCGAATTTTCTCTTATTTTTGTATGTTTGTAGTGAAATGATTGTTATTAAAATTAAAAAACGACTTTTACACCTTTCCTCGGATTTCAAAAATACGAAGATTGCTTGGGCTATCGTTGTGGATATCTCATTGTTATTAGAGTTGTTACTAGGATGCTCTCATACGCCAGACGCAGCTATGCCAAACTGTTCGATCTTATGATTTGTACTTCCAGTTAGCACCCGCCTTTTGGGCTTTATTTTTTAGAAAAAATGAACTACTCGTGTTTTTTTTTTTGTTTTGTTTTTGTTATGAAACTAGATAAAATCGTTTGTTGACGGAAAATTTGCTTAGGAATGAATGAGTAAAAAATTTGCTTAAGAACGATGTAAAAATGACACTTTTCGTAAAGCACTACTTGTCACCCGCCCCACGCATTATTTTATTGCTCTGGGGTTTTGATCATTGTTATCCTTTTCATCAAGATGTTTGTTGCTACCGAAAATACAAATATGTACTGAGAAAATTTCATGATTTCACTTATCCCAGATTACTTATCCCCAGTTTATGTTCACCGTTCTGCTTCGGAATTACTGAAGTGGTCATTGTTTGATCAAACTGGACATTTTTATGTTACCCAACTATAATTGTTCCTTGTGTTTTATTTATTGACATTAATTATGTTATTTTTTGTGTTATCCAACTATAGTTATTCCTTCTGTCTTATTTATTTGATAATAAACTATCTCGGGTGGTATCGTTTTTAGTTGCACTGATATATGCTAGCTGCCCGATTGCTTCCTTTGCATGACCATCTTGACAAATATTCCGCCTTTCCCGGAATGTTTTCTCGATATCCATGAACGGTAACTCGATGAAGAACATCGTGCAGCAGCCGATGAAATACGATAAAGTTGCTTGTAGGATGGCAAAGCCAAGAATTGTTTCGATTCCTCGATAGACCAACGGGAACGGTGCTTTCATAAATACCGCAACAACTGGGAACATATGACAGAGATAAGTCTGCAACAAATCCAGAAATTTAATTCGTTGCAATGGGAACTTTAGAATAAGAGCATTGCGCACGAAATATGCAGACAAAGGACAGTAACGGTACAGTGTATAAAAGTTTGAAACACAAGGGTTACGGATGATTATTGGTGTTTTTGCCGAACACTGGAGTGGACATTTATATACAAATGCAAAAATGCATATTGGAATAACTTCTAGTGTGTGTCTGTGTGTCTGTGTTTATGTGTGTATGTATGTATGTATGCATGTATGTATGTATGTATGTATGTATGTATGTATGTATGTA